ACAAAACAAAACGAAGATGGTAGGACTGAAGAGGTGACTCAGCTGTTAAGATGACAGCCAGTGCTCTTCCAGAGGACACAGGTTCAATTCCCAATACCCACATGGTAGCTTATAACTGTCTACAATCCCAGAAGGGATCTAATACCCTCTTCTGGCCTCTTTGGGCATCAGGCATGGGTGTAGACATACATGCAGACAAACACCCATAAAAACAAATCTTTCTTTAAAAGAATGTGAAAGTATGGGGCTTGGGGAAATGGCACAGTGGTCAAGAGCACGTACTGCTCTTATAGAGAACCTGAGTTCAATTCCCAGCACCCACATGGCAGCTCACACCTGTCTGTAACTCCAGTTCCAGGGCTTCTGACAACCTTACATGGACATACATGCAGGCAAAACACCAATGAACATAAAATAAATAAACAAACAAAACCCCAAACAAACCACCAAAGTCTGACTTAGAGGCAGTGAAGTCCCATTGAGTCCAGTGTTTGAGCTGACAGGAATTGTTTGACATGGATATGAAGGACGATGGTAGTGCTGAGTAATGGTCAGGGGATGTGATCTGATCCTCAGGACCCCAGCCTGCCTCACAAGGGGTCTACTCCTTGCTTTTGAAATCTGGCAAAACTCTAGGGAGCTCAAGGGAAGCTGGGCTAGGAGAGAGCAGAGGTAAGGGTCTCTGCTGTGTCTGAAGAGCAGAGGAGCAGAGTCTCCTGGCCTTCATCCCTGCAGAGCTAAGCTTGTGAAAATGGCAACACCTGGTAAGTATGGTGGCTCTCCTTTTAGGTCCATTGTGTGACACTCTAAGAAGCTGGTGACAGTGCAATTTTCCTCTGGGGTGATTGCTATCCAGCTCTCTCAATGGTGGAGTAAAGTTTATTTTTGTCAAGTTGTTGCACTGCTGGCCAAGTAGATGATGAGTAGGTGCAGTGAGATACATCAGGTAGTTACAGTAACCATGTTCTCCAAATTAAACAATCAGGGCATGTAGTTTTGATATGACATCATAACAACACAGAATATTCCTGTGCAGGAAAATCCCAGAGCACAAGACTATTATGGTTCATCTTTGGGGTCCAACACTTGTTCTTTCCATCATGGCAGACTCCCTGGAGCCAGCCATGTGTCATCATACATAACCTGTTGCTTTGGAGACTCTGGGCTAGGCATGTTTTGGTTTTCTACAAAACTTAATTGTTCATTACCTCCACATCTAAAGAACTGGAATGAGTCATGGTGAATTAGTTTTGGCTTGGATGCAGTCTTCTTTGGGTGTGCCTGCTCCCGGGGCCAAGCTGCCTGCATCTTGTAAGAATGGTGTGGTGGAATGTAATTCATTGCATTCAGGGTGCTGAGTTTGTCCTGCTTAGCCGCCAGCTTACTCTAGTTCTGGGTCAGCCCCACGCTCCTCTCTGGATTTTGTTATTGTCACAGCAGTGACAAAGGGACACATCTAGAATGTATTTGTCTATGGACAACAGAACATTAACAGAATAACGATTCACTGTCCTGAGTTTACAAGAGTTGTGAGGTGGATGTTAGAGCTGCCATGGCAACTCAATGATGCTACCAAGAAGGAAGCATCTCCCTCTCTGGAAGGAAGCATCTGCCAGTCCTCGACTTGGTCCCCATGCTAGTGGCTTCTTCCTACTGCAAAGAAGGGTACCTTACATCTCCACAGCACGTATGGCTTTGGGAGAAGACAGAAGTGAAGTGGCAGTTTGTATCAAGAATACAAAAGCAGGGGCCGGAGAGATGACTCAGTGGCTAAGAGCACTGGCTGCTCTTCCAGAGGACCCAGGTTCAATTCCCAGCACCCACATGGCAGCTCACAACTGTCTGTAACTCCAGTTCCAGGGGATCTGGTATCTTCACACAGACCTACATGTAGGCAAAACACCAATGCACATAAAAATAAATTATTAAAAAGCATTTTATTTTGTGGTCACCTCCAGTTGCAAGAGAGTATGGAGGAAGCGAATCATTTGGGCCAGACTCATTGCTTCTCAGACCAGACCTGGGGCTTTATGAATGAGTCTCATTTACAGTATAGCAAACTGTCCCCAGATATAGTGACCAGAGACAATAGTTAATTCCTCATCACATCTGTGAGGGTGGCCAGGCTCTACTGGATAGCTGATCTCCCCATGTGGTTTAGGTGAGGTCATTCATACATGCAGCTGTGAGCTCAGTGGAGCTGGAATGTCTGGGATGGTATTTCTTATTTACTTGGTTTTCTGAGACAAGGTTTCACTGTGTGGCCCTGGCTGTCCTGGAACTTACTCTGTAGATCAGGCTGGTCTCAGACTCACAGAGATCCACCTGCCTCTGCTTCCTGAGTGCTGAGATTAAAGGTGCGCATCTAGCATATTTATTTATTTTAATTAATTAAGCAACTAATTTGTGTATTTCTGCACATTTGTGTGCATGTGCACATGTCTGTGGAGACCAGAAGTCAACCTGGAGTATCATCCCTCAGGAGCTGTCCACCTTGTGTTTTTTGAGTCAGGGTCTCACTTGCTGATTTGCCTAGGCTGACTGGTCTGTGAGCCCTAGGTGTCTGCCTGTCTCCACCATCCCACTGCTGCTGCACCACACCCAGTCTTTGGCATGGACAGTGGGGACCAAATTCAGGAAAGCATGGCAGGCAAACATGGCCCCCGAACCTTCTTTAGTCCCCGGGAATGCATTTCTCCTATGCTCCCTGTCCGTAGTGCATCTCATCACGCCGCACTCCAGCTCAAGCTGCTTTGCAGCACCATGCCTGGCTTCGGAGAGGGGTATTCCAAGAGGACAGGGTCCCGTGTGCACCTTGTTTCTGCTTGCACCATGCTTGCTAGTGCCCCTCTGGTAAAAGCAAGTCATAGGGCGAAGTGTGGGAAGGGCCTTCGCCAGGGCACAGATCCCAGGAGATATAGTTGATTGGGGTCAAACACTGTATGTTTGTCACAGAGCGAAGGAAGGGAGAGTGAACATAAGGTCTGCCATTCATTTGTTTGCTGTGGTGGATTGGAGCTGAACAGTGTTTTTTCATACTGCCAGCACCAAAGCCAGTGTAGTTCATGGCCAGAGAAGTAGAATGAATGTGGAATATTGGCGTGTATTGCATGTTAAAAATCTATATTTACGTCCACTGAGAGATGTATTTCATGTTCCTGGCTTGAGCACATCTGAGTTTCGATGCTTTGATTCTATGGCAGAATTAAGTGGTGGATGTCCTGCTGACCCTCTTCCATGTGAGGAGCTGTGTGATGGGGACACATCTTGTCCCCAGGGACACAAATGCTGCAGCACTGGCTGTGGCCACGCCTGCCGAGGAGACATTGAGGGAGGTATGTTGGTTCTTTGGGAGGAGAGTCACAAGTGCCCACTGGGTGCCAGGTGAGTTTGGAGGAGTTTCCTGTGGACACCTTCCTGGGGAGCCAGGTGTCATCTTTACCATCCCCCAGCCTCCAACCCAATGCAGCCCTTTCTTCTAGGGTTAAAGGTCAATGTTGGCATGGAAAGAACTAGAGGAGGGAGGTGTGGTAACGAGGCTTCGGTCTGGGCTCTGCTTTGTGCCTGGGGTAAATAATCCCCTCTTTTGGGGTCTATTGCCTCTGTCTAGTAAAGAAGTTGCCCACTATCACTGTTTTTTTCAGATCAATTTTTGTTTGTTTTTGAGAAAGGGTCTCATTATGCAGCCTAGGCTGGTCCTAAACTCAGAGCCCTGGCTTAGTCCCTATGTGCTGGCCTTACAGGCCTGAGACACTTCAGAGAGAGATCTGAGACACTTGGTCTCAGATCTCTCTCTCTCTCTCTCTCTCTCTCTCTCTCTCTCTCTCTCTCTCTCTCTCTC